ATTGATGGTGGAGCTATTGTACGCCGAATTCAAGGATCAAATGCGACGTTTGTGCCAACAGATATCGAGTGCGGCCAGAAGAGAGATGACGCTTGCATTCAGCCGTTTAAACAATAAGTGCTTAGCATATTTTTTTCTGTGAACAAGGCTTAGTTTTTAGCGATGTTGATTCAAGGATTGCATTAATCTAGGACGAGTTTTGGTTTGCGCATTCCCTAAATGATAGTCTTGAACTCATCAGATTTTCCGGAAACTACGAGTTCTTACTGTCATCTTTTGATCCATAATGGCCAATCGAGTCAGCTCTTGCCTTCAGGATCATAGACGCACTGACGCCTTCAATGAACCCGAATTCTATAATTTCTTAAGCTTTTTTGTCAATTCATTTGTTTTTTTTTTGGTGACCAGTTGCTTGAAGACTAAATTTAGGAATATAAAATATCCACAGGCAATCGAAGATTGCGTCGATTTGCACATACTCTTTGGTTAAGAATCGAAGACCAGGTCTGAGGTTATGTAATTTTTCATTGATTTCGGTCGTTCAAGCCTCTGTGCGTGAAATACTCTTAGCAAAGTATTTGAATGCTCGAGGGCTTAGGTAAATAAAATTTTCATCCTACAGGTACGTTCTGTGACCAGTAGCTGGGCTTTGGCTTCTAAAGGTTTTTCAAATATATGAAGTTTCCCCTTCAAATGTCACTCAGTGCAGTCATCCACTTCTCCCGTTAATCTCACATCAGAAACGAAAAGAAATTGGCAGAGGTGATGGCGCTGGAGTTTTTTTCGCATGATTTAGTTCTTTAATGAGGTCCCTAAGGGAACAATCCATTGTATTTAGGACGTCTATTTTGCATAAATAAAATAGATAAACTTCAGCGTGGCGTGTTGATGGTGTTGAATGTGAAAATAGCAAACAAATCAAGGCCATCGGTAGTTTTGGTCTAAATATCTGTTACAAGACGCTGTTCTTGGAGGTAAGATTCTATGATACTTGTAAAAATCTTAACATCCATAGATCAGACTTTTTAGTCAAACAATCACGTGTTTCGAAGGCGCTTAATTTCAGAATTATATAACCCTTTTTGCTACCTTGTAAAAGTAACTTTATGGAGTGCTGTCAGCGTCATTTAGTTCAATGTTCAATTGAACAGGTTTTCGATCATAACGTTTTCGCGAATTTATGAAAATATCTAAGATCTTTAAAGAGCGTCTTTAAAAGGCATTTAAAGGGCGTAAAGTTCTGCTCTGTGATTACTTAATTCAATTGGCGTTTGTAAAGGTACATTGGTATTGCCAAATTTAGATTGTCAGTCTAAACTTCCGAACATGATTGAGTCGAACATTATTCGGTCAGACGTTGAAATTTAACTCAACAATGCGGCTGTATAAACTGCTAAACGCCATAAAATAAATTGCATCTTAATTTGACCCCAATAACGCCACATACATAGTCCTCAGTTTAATTATTATGACAACATAGATAGCAGAGCATCTCTTAGATGGGCAAAAGAATACCGGAAAATTTTTAAGACGTACATTCAGCTGAAAATTGTACCGATATAAACGCATCTACAATTCGCGAACATTGGCGGGATGTGTCATGATGAATGAGTCCTCTTAGCGTTAGGTGCTATATTCGTATGAATCAACCAACCATGTCTAACCAATTTAACTTAAAAAGTCACTCCATAAAAAGTAAAAGATCAGGTCATTACTTTCAATGTTTACTACGTTTAGACGGAAGGAGTGTATTCGAAGCAACCAAATGGCGTATTGCGATTTAAATTTTGAAACGATCTGTCAGAATAAGGGTCGTACATGTTAATTTCTGCAGTAAAGCATTCAAGCGTAAAAAAGTCACCGTTCGATTGTGACGCTTAACTGCTCTCTATGACGTTTCAAAAGATCGTCCTGTTCTGAGGCATTTTGTAATAACAATATATTTGGTAATAACTTACGCGTTTTGTAACAACGTTTGCGGCATTTTGCATTAAATCGCACATATTTCAGCATTTTGTATCAAAGGCGAGCTACGTAGTTGTCGCGGCATTTTGAGAGCTGTCTACGCAATTTCTAACAACCGGCATGACGTAAATTGTGGTAATATCAATTTTGTCACAAAAACATAAAGACAAATAAGGGAAAGATTGTTTCACTGAATTAGTGACGAGGTATTTATTTTAGTCTAGTCAGATAGCAATGCCATAAGAGTGATATATATGGTGTTTGTAAACAAAGATCTTCCTTCACTCCTACTGAAATGGGCATCTCAAGTGGTTATTGTCATCACTTCTTTGATTGGCAGATTGAGCTGAGTGAACTTAATATGATTGTCTGCTTTAACTGCCCGATTCCAGGTGTCTGAATATAGCCAACTGGATGATCACTCAGTTAGATTACAACTCCACAGAATAATTAGAGAAAATTTAGGCATCTGATCCACCAATCACGTTTGAGAAAATTATAATGGTTATGAAGTTAAGAAGTACTCTAATTGATCTTGTATATATTTTCATTTGGATTTCATTTTTTCTTCGGGAAAATACTTTAGGATCCAGCTGAAAGGCCTTGAATAAATGTGATTGCCATTAATTGTAAAATCCTTTGGCGCAGAAAAGAGTTAAGAAATTGGCTAGACAACATATTTGTGATTGACGTAAAAAGGCATTTGAATTGAAACAATTAACAGGCAAAGCTTTTATCTTTTTTCGAACGGTTTAAGCAAACTTCGCTACATTCCGGTTAGTTGTTTTAATTATTTTGCCAGTTGAATGTAACACATTCTGTCCTCTTCTCGTCTTAATGTGTCTCCACGCTTAATGTTTGAAATTTGTTTTTTTTTTTAGAAGTACTTCACTTTCTTATTATAATATATAATCACCTTCTCGAAATGGGTTACTCATTGGTTCACGCACTATCTATTTATGCACCAACAAGTATCAATTAGCGCTTGTTTATTTATCTGCGGTTGTTTATGCAAAAATATTTGAAATCTTTTCATTTTCCTTGCTTTCGTTTCTGCAAGAACAGTAAATTCCCCAATTGAGCACTCGATTCGCTGCACATTGGATCTGGTTATGTAAACAAATTGTTGGTAGCGGAACTCAAGCTTTCTATACAAGTAGGTGTTTCTTTTCAAATAAAACGGATCGGACTTTAGCGTTAAAATAAAAGCCTCCATTCTATTGATCACAACAATAGAAGTTTCGATAAAGATCTGCGCCTAATTAATAGGATCGACTAAACAATGGTAACCGAACTGAGTGGAGTGCAGTTTGCATAGGTTATCAAATGATTTCGAGTGCAATTTGAAATAAATAAGCACGAGTAAATGTTTTCGAAGACTAACAAAATTGCACGAACCCGTAGGGCTCGTGCAATTTTTGGTCTTTGAAAAAATTTACAAATGCTTATTTATTCCAAATTGCACTCGAAATCATGTGACTACGTATTAATAGTATACATGAAAAAATACGAGATAAATTATCATAATTATGCAGGAGCAAAGTGCGCCCATCGCGTGCAAAAATAATCTGTTCAAACCCTGCAAGTGACATTGTGCGTTCGGTCAAAACAACCGCGTACGATCAAAACAATTCTTCAATGATATTTTCACATCTTTAAGGCGCAAAAACGTTCAAAGTCCGGCTAAACAGTGAAAGAAATTGTTCAGTCTGAATTAATTGAATTAACCCTCTTCTGCATTGAATTACCTAAAAACTGCATTTACCTTAACCAAGCAGAACTGAGTAATTTTTTTTCATGTATCTCATTAGGTCTGAAATCATAGGCGTGACTTGAAATCACAAATATGATTTTAGACCAAAATTGCACTTCACTCAGTTCAATTAACACTCTATTATATCGACTTTGAAATAGAAAAATACAGTCTCTGAAAAACAGGTTTTTTTGGTCTGTATAAAACTTTTACTGATCCAGCAGTAAGCTGGTTTGTAGAAATTTGCAAAATTTATCGCTCTGTAATTTTTCTGCAATTTGATTGATTACTCTAAACAAGCCTGCAAATCGGTTTATTTATTGTGTTTTGTTAAAGCTTTCGCATTGACTGGGAAAATGATGTAATTTAGAGTAAAAAATGGAGCGATTCGAGAATAAATCGCACTGATGAGAGCCAATCAGACTGCAAAGATCACAAGTGATTTCAAAATGGATGTAAAAAAATCCGGATAATTATTAAGCAAAGTCTAAATATTTTTCAGATTAATAGCATAGGATTTGAAAATAAACCGGTTCTTCAAAACTCTGCCGCTCGTTTTATTTGTATTTGCTTCTTGTAATCAGGAATTATTTCATAGAACCGATTGTATACATAATGTAATAGGACTGAGTGGAGTCCAATTCGATCTGTAATCATAGAGTAACTAAAAAAATCGGAGGATCGTGAAGTGGGAGTTCGATTTTTTTATCACGAATATGATTATGGACAGAATTGGACGACAAGAAATCCTGTTACCAATTAATCATGACCATTTCAATTTCCGAAAAAAAACAACTACACCTAGAAAAAATATCTCCAGTGGAGACAATGTCTTTAATTAAAAATTCCTCCATTTTGGAAATTGCCTAGTTTTTCTTTGGATAAGTGGTTTTTGCTTTTGTTATTGTGATCAATTCTGTGACTGGTGGATTTAGCTGAGTGGACCTAGTATGATTGGCTACTTCAACTGTCAAATTACAGGTGTCCGATTACAACTGTACAGAATGATTAGTGAAAAATAAAGCTGCGAATGCACCAATAAGAATTGAGGAATTTGTAATGGTTATGATTATTAAGGAAATTGATTTTGTTCACACCGAAATTCTGGCGTAAGCAAGGAAGGTATGGTTTACCAAGAGAATTATGGCTCCGTATCTGTTCTGAAATCAGCAGGGACAGGAAAAGATAACCGATCACTGCATGACAAGAAATCTTGGGTTATCTTAGGAACATTTATTGATGTTTTGTTTGTTTGCTTTTCTCACATCCAGTGTCTGAAAATATGGAAAGCCAAGGATATAAAAAACTCTCTACCGATGAAGTTGAGGAATCCAGAGAGTCGTTTTTGTCCCTTCTCTTCTTCCATCAGATGAGTGATGTTTTCAAGACGGGCAACAAGCGAAATTTAGACGAGAAGGACTTTCTACCTCTTTTAGAAGAACACACTTCCTTCTCAACAACTAAAAAGCTTCAAAAGAAATGGAACAGTGAAATTACAAAGAGCCAAGAAAGTGGTAGAAGACCGAGACTTTGGAGAAGCATTATAAAAACTATTAATTTTCGGGAAGTGGCTATTATTATTTTTGCAGAAGCTTTGAATTTTATAAGCCGTATGATTCAGCCTCTGCTTCTTGCATATCTAATCTCAGCACTGACCTCAGATGATCACCACTATACTCTTATGACGTACGGAGTTGCCATAGCAATGGGCATAAGTCCTTTGATAGGCTCCTTTGGACTCCATCATCGGGCATATTGCAGCGAACTGTTTGGAATAAAAGTCAGCAGCGCCCTTAAAGGTCTCGTTTACATCAAGGTAAGCACCTGAGAGGACCTATTTTGCCTTTCTCTGTACAGTCACTTTGTTTGAGTGATGAAAAGTAACAGGAATGGGAGAGAACCAGAGGTGGAAATCTGTTTACCCGCCGAATCATGCACGTACTTCCAGGGTATATAACAGAATAGGCAACAACTGTACGAGACACGTAGGTAAGAAAGGAAAGCTGCGACAAGTAGGCGTTTAGCTAAGATGAATTACAGCCTTCTTACTCTCCTAGGGATGGAAAATCCACGATAAGGACCGTTCCTCGGAACTGTAATTGCAAGAAAGTTTTCTACTTCTTTATAATCTGAGATAGTAATCTAATTGCTTGCTCGTAATTTCTTTAATTTTAGACTCTCCTTCTTAGCAAGGATACCTTGGTGAACGTTTCAACTGGTCGGGTGATTGACCTTATATCAAACGATGTTCAGAGGATGGTAGAAGCGCCCTTTTGGTTTTTCCCCTTAGCTTATGTATGGCTGGACATTTTCTTGGCTTCGTTTATCCTTGCCTTCTTTATTGGCTGGCAGGCCGTCTTGGGAGTGATTTTCTCATGTGTTCTTGTGCCATATTACGCCGAGCTTTCCAGTATGAACGCCCTAATGCGCCAGCGAACCGCAGCGGAGACTGATCAGCGACTTTCCCTGATAACTGAAGTGGTTTCTGGGATCCGCACGATAAAAGCATTTGCGTGTGAGAATGGTTATCGCGAGAAAATACGGAGCAAAAGGAGGTACTGGGAATCATTGTAAAATCATCATTAAAACTGCTTCGAACTTTATCTTTTCGTTTCAACGCAATCTGAATATTGAGCTTAACTAAAAAGTTCAAAAACTATGATTTTTGGATATTTTTCTTGCTTCGAAATAGAATACAGCACATGTTTGACTTACAATGGATATAGAAAAGATATCACTCAGGGTTAGTTGTAAACACAGACCAACCCTCACTCATAGATAAAACACATTGATAGCAACATTACACCCCTCCTCAGTGGCTAACCATCGCAAATCCTCTTTTTCTTAACTGATTTGTGCGGCCGAGACATTCGAAAATAGTTAACGCTAAATTATGCAGAGTTTCTTTGACTCAACCCTAGAGTGTTTTTTTTTTTTTTACCGATAGACATCTTCAGAAATGCTCCTCTGTCAGCTCATTTCTATCTAGTGCCGCTTTCCAATCAAAAGTTGGCGCTTTAGGCCCGGTTTGTTCATCAAAATATACATTTTCGCTAACATACGTCAATCATTTGTATTAACATGGAGCATCCTTACACTTTACTTACAGAAAAGAAATTGGCATCATACGAAAGAACACTACAGTGCTGTCTTGCATTGCTACTCTGGAGTACACTGCTGCCCCAATAGCGACCCTGCTGTCTGTCATCTCTCTCATGTTAACTGGTCAGCCTCTCACGCCTAGTGTGGTCTTCCTGATCCTTTCTTACATTAACGTCCTGAATCGAAGTGTCTGTACTGATTTAGCCCAAGGTTTCTTGAAAACGTATGAAGCTTACGTCTCCCTCAGTAGGATAGAAGACTACCTTCTTCTTGAAAACCTGCCTTTGACTTCTTCTAACAGGTTCTCTAAGAAGAAAGGGTATGTAGAAAAAAGCCCAGTCATTATGGGGAACCCGCAGAATAGTTTAGTGGATTTCACAGAAGCCATGTATGATAAAAAAAGTGGTAGCCAAAATGACCGTGGAACACAGGAAAATTTGCGTGTTTCGAGTTTAACGCACAAACAAACGAAAAGGAAGGATACATTCATATTACAAGATGTGGAGTTCGACACCACGCTAAAGAGTTTCACAGCGGTCACTGGAGCAGTTGGCAGCGGAAAATCTACTCTACTCTCGGCAATCGCTGGCGAGTTGTCAAACGTGAGTGGAACAATTTCTTTTAGTGGAACGTTCGTCTATGTACCCCAGAAAGCTTGGGTCTTCTCTGGAACTATTAGAGAAAACATTTTATTCGGCCAGCCTTACGATGAGATCAGGTACGCTAGGACAACCGAGGTTTGCGCCCTTGTAGAAGACATTGGGAGGTTTCCTAACGGTGACCAAACATTTGTTGGTGAGCGAGGTGCCACTCTGAGTGGAGGTCAGCGCGCAAGAATTAGTTTGGCGCGGGCGATATACCTAGATGTAGATCTGTATTTGTTAGATGATCCTCTAAGTGCAGTGGATTTGAAAGTTGGCCAACATATCATGAAAAACTGCATCATGGGGTTGTTAGGAAACAAAACACGATTGATAGCTGCTCACCAAGAGGAACACTTAAAAGAAGCCGACCAAGTGATTGTGCTGTACCGAGGTAAATTACTTGGAAAGGGTAAATTCTCGGAGCTTCAAGAAAGATGCATTCTAAATGGCGGCACTGTTACACAGTTCCACAATGATCCGAAAGAACTAAAGTCTGACAGCGCTAACATGGAAAAGAGCAAAAAGGGAGAGGATGGAATGGTGCAACTAACCAGTAGAGGAAAGGATATGGAGATTTCTGAGGAAGATCGCTTTAGTGGAAATGTGTCATCTAAGCTGTACTGGAGCTACTTTAGAAGCGGAATTAGTACCTTACCGATCATTGCAACAATTTGTTTTTTTCTTGCTGCCCAGGGTAAGCCAGTTCAGTCAGTTTTGTCTTTCGAAAAAGCAAGCTCATGTTTATTGAGGAGTGTAGCCTTGTACCTATCCTTCTTAGAAGGCAAAAGATGTGTTGTGATTAAGTAAATATTAAAACTCATTTTCTTAAAAAGCCATTTTGATGCCAATAGAGAATGCATTACATCAACACTACTCGATCTGGCTTCAAACGATTCTCCCATTTTCTTTCCCAGGAATTCTTGTGGCTCCAAATGTGTGGCTGGCGTTTTTGGTTAAGAGACCACCAGGGGAGCAGCGATACAAGAGCACACTTATCATTTATGGTTGTTTAGTTTTTGCGTCCGTCGTTTTTATCTACGTAAGAGCAGCTGTGTTCTTGTTAGTGAGCTTAAAATGTACTGAAAGACTTCATGACAATATGGTGATAGCTGTCCTACGAGCGCCAGTTCTTTTCTTTGATTCTAATCCCTTGGGTAGAATTCTCAACAGATTCTCCGAGGACATCGGATGCATGGATGAAATACTTCCCCAAAAGTTTCTACTCTCGATACAGCTGTCGCTGCTATTTTTGACCACGATTACTCTACCAATCGTCGCAAATCCCTGGCTTCTGATCGTCTTTTTACCGGTTGCTGTCCTGGTCGGTTTTATCACGAGATATTACCTAAAGACATCTAGAGACCTGAAAAGATTAGAGGTTGCATCTCGTAGTCCGGTCTTGTCTCACTTAGCGGAAACTATGAATGGCCTGGATACTATTAGAACAAGAAGCAGACAGAGAGCTTTTGAGGATAAGTTTCACAGGTACATGTTTGATATTTTTGGTACATGTTGCAGATACATTTCAGATATTCATGTCAGTCTTGTCGAGCAATGGAACAGGGGAACAGTGCGCCTAAGTCTTGGGATAGGAGCCACGTGCAGCGAGGTTTTCTTTTCAAAAACATAACAAATGATAAAAATGAAATGAAGATTTAAAAAAATGAATAGACAGAAAAATTGTATAGGATAGACTTAAAAAAAACATACCATAAAAGCAAAAAAGATAAAAACCCGGCCGATAAATGACATCCTGCGGGCGCAGATAAGCAACATTCCCTCCATAAGACATTTCAAACTATTAGCTAAATAAATTGTACTCCCGTAAAGTTTGATTTTTTTGTTCCTAATTTTTTTAGCTCGCTTCCAATTTCATCTTATGCATACGTTATCTCTCAGATCGTTTGAATTAACATTGCCAAGCTAAAGAGGGTAGGACACACTGAAATTTGATTCACACACGAAAAAGTCGATTTGAACCAAACTTTGTATGCATTAGGGATAGGGAGATATTATTGATATTATTATTAGTATTATCATTATCACTAACTTTGTTATTATAACGAAAAAAACTACAGCATTATTAATATCATTTAAATTTTCAGCCATTGAAATGGTTTGCTGGTAGTGGTTAACTTCAAATAATTTTTTCCCGAAAGGCATCAAGATCTCCACAATCAGGCTGGTGTAACGTGGAAACAAGGCTCGAGATGGCTTTGTGTTCGCCTGAGTCTTCTGTCCTGCCTATTAGTGACCGTAGTGGCTCTCGCATCGGTATTGATGTCACAGGATGCCGGTGAGTAAAACTGTTTACTTTTGGTCTCGCAGGAAACCAGGTGTCAAACTTGGTCCATGTTCCATGATTCTTTTGAATCGTAAAATTCCACGTGCACATTGTATTACCAGCCTCCTTTGTGAAAGATTTTTTTGAAGAAAAAAATGATGTTATCTCGTGGATAACTAGTTTACCTAGGTTTATGCTGTTGATAACAGAAGATAAGGCATAAACTGAAGAACGATGAGAAAACGACAAGCAACAACAACAATAACAACGGTATCCAGATTTGATATAAATGTGCGCCATAGCACCTCAAAAGCTAATCTTGTGTCATTACCCGAGGGACGCAGGCGGCTGACATTGATTGAGGACATATAGCACTAGTTGAACTATGCCTAAATTCGCACATAATTTTGATTGCTAAATTCAGTATATTCAATTCAAATCAAAATTGCAAGGAATGGTATGGAAAGAGATCCACTACCGCAATAATGGTGTTCAGGTCAATCAGGTTTCCTTGACCAAGCAGGCATTATTTGGTGTATAAAAAAAAAACCTCTCCGTGTTAATGAGTTGACAGCCTTGACCAGCTGTTTGGCATTCTTCGTAAGATCAATACCATGTGACACCTGGTGGTTTTCTGAATCAATTAGTCATCCTTAAACTAATCTGGGTTGTCAGCTATTGTTGGCCCGATTTCTCTTGCCATTTTAGAAAAGTTCTGTAAAATAAGATCTACCTATAAACCTCAAAGCATTTCATTTGTCTCACGCCATTATCCTTAGTATAACGCCACATACCAGAAGCATCAAAAGGCAAAAGCTAATCTTTCAATAAAGACGAAACTCAAATAGATGTAGAATCAACTCAAAAATACAAGGGTATTTTTTCTGAGGAGATTCATGTGTCGTTTCTATTTCGCCTTTCAGCTTTTGCGGGACTATCTCTTGCTTACATCATCCAGACTGTTGCCATAACTGAACTCACTGTCAGAGAATTAGCAGATGTCGAGACTTTTATGACGTCAGTGGAACAAGTGATGGCATACACCAAGATTGATCCTGAGCCCGGATACAAACAGGAACGACTTCCACCGGCGCGATGGCCAAGCGAAGGAAATATCACATTCCAAGACTTTTCACTGACGTACTATCCTGGCGGTCCGCAAGTGCTGAAGGGCATCAATCTGTCAATCAAAGGAGGTGCAAAGATCGGAGTGGCGGGACGTACAGGAGCCGGGAAATCATCAATTGTTGCGGGTCTTATGCGCATGCCTGACCCAAACGGACAAGTAATAGTTGACGGCATTGGATTGAAAGATCTCAACATACAGGCGGCTAGACGATTCATATCCATCCTTGGCCAAGACCCCGTCATCTTTGGTGGCCCTTTGCGGAAAAATCTTGATTTCGAAGAGCGGTTCGAAGATGCTGATCTGTGGCGAGTGCTAGAGGATGTGCAGATGAGAGACTTTGTAGAAAGGCTCGATGGACAGCTGAATTATGAGTTATTAGAACAAGGGTCGAATGTAAGTGTCGGAGAGCGGCAGCTGATTTGTTTGGCCCGTGTGCTGCTGCAACGAAATCAAATCGTCATCTTGGACGAGCCTACTGCGAACGTGGATCCAGATACAGAACAAACCATTTGGAAGGTAGTAGGCAAGATGCTCAAGAACTCCACAGTCATCATTATAGCGCATCGATTACACACTATTCAGGACTGTGACAAGATTCTTGTTTTCCACAATGGCGAAATATCCGAATATGAGAGTTTGGATGAGGCCAGCAAGCACCTTACATAGAGTTTCCCAATTTATAGGCAAAAGCCTCCATTTGGCGCAATTAATGCACGGATATTTGTTCGCGGACATTATCTTTGTTGAGATGCGTGCATGCTGAAATTTGTTCACGTATATTATCAGAGCTTTGATAGCACACTGCTTTTGCCATGCTTTTAATTGAATGGATAGCTTTATTAGACAGCATATACATTACTTACCTCTTCGTGATTGGAAGGTACGCTTCGTTTGCGCGATCTGATTGGTATACCCTGAAAGGTATTATGGATAGATTTCAGATCACGGTTCCTTTACCTAGACCAAATGATTTCAGGGAAATCTATGAAAACGGGCGAATATAAGGGCGAGGAATCGCGAGTTTGATCAATTTATCTACTTATTTTGCATACTAAAATTCGTTGATTAACAGATACCCAAAATACCTTCCAAGAACGCTGTGTGCATTTTTTACTCTTTTCTTCCATTACATTTTCTCACCGTTGAGCAAAAATACCCTTCATTTCTGGGCGGGTAGCTTAGAAGAAAACTTCCGTATTTTCTGGATATCAGACAGATTGGAAGAACAAAAAAACCGCAGGCTTTTCGAACCAATGAATAAGTTTGATACAATTTACAACTTCGTAGACCCAACTTTCATGTTTTACAGAAGCTATTAATGTTTCCTCTACATTAGTAATGTAATGTGATCATATCATATAATTATATCATATCACGTAATCGATGTCATTTTTGTTCTCGTTCCCTGGGGAAGCTCCTTGTAAAAGGCTTGTGGTTTCTGGCAGCCTGCCACCCAAATATATCATTTATCATGATCCGTATAGTACTACTAAATATTGTCCTTTATTCAATTTTTCTTAGCTTATTTACAAGATTTCTTTAGTATTTTCACTATTTTCATTCTCCTACTTATTTTCTTTACCTCTCGTAATTTTCAAATCATGGATTCATTGTAACTAACAATGGACGGAAAATTAAATGAAAGGTGTCTCACGTGACTTACAAATTAATGGTCTTCTCAAGGGTGAGAGGCTGAGTCGTGTGCAATGGCCTTAACACAAATAACTGTCGGGAAACGTAGAATTTGGAAGTCAAGTCACCAATTTCAATTGGTGATCATGAGGCATGCCCCTCTTTCATTAAACTCGTGAGTCAAGGAACATGCTTTGCCCTGATCATCCATCACGCATGAAAACTCCACCAACCTCCCAAAGTGAGAGCTAAACACGGTATACACACCCAATAAAAAAAGACTTCGTGCAAAGCTTAATGGTTGGATTAGCTAGGGGGACTACCTATTTTTCCTCGCACACGATTGGAGTTCTGTCTTGATGTACTTTTTTTATGAATTTATTGATTATATGGCCCCAATTTCAGAATGCTATCGAGTCATTCGTCAAAGAAAAACGATATGATAAGTTAAATAAGGAATGAATGCAATGAAGGCTAATACACGCGTAGTATGCACAGACCAAACAACATAAATATCACCAATGGCTCCTTTGTTAGAATTAATTTCTCTAACACTCGTTTGTGGTTTGGTTGATCCTTCTTTAATTACTTTTCTTCTCAAGTTGTTACAATGGAGAATAGCTTCAATATAACAGGAAAATCTAGAGTCTCCGCTTATAAAGGTGACACTGTGGATGACATTTCTAAGCCGTCAATCTTCTTGTGTCGTCATCGTACCATCTCAACTAGCGAATCACGCTTGACTACGTATTATCGTTCCCACATACTGAGTAAGCACCTTAGGGTTGTCTACGCAGTTACAAAATCAATTTCTTCCCTAATTTTCATATCTTTACGGTTGAGATCGGCCAGAACAGAAACGAGATCGGCAATATAAAAATTACAAATAACCTTGGTGTATAGTATTATTTATACCTGAAAGTGTATCTTAAGAGAAAATCACCTTCAAAGATTGTTACATAACAACATCTTGGTGACAAGAGTTAAAGAAGAAAGGCGCTCACAAGTACCGCCCCCAAATGGCTTCTTGTTGCGAAACATGAGGGGCATCACCTGTTTACCCTTAAATTACATCTGGGAACACGAAGGTCTCGAACGCGACCTATTACCAGGGAGATTTACTCTTCCTGGACTAACAAATTAACTTATTTAAGAACATGGCTTATCACGAGTTCCATGTCAACCGCACGATCACAACGAAGAAAACGTGATTAAACTCACTAGGAGAACGTAGCCAAACTCACAAGAAGAACGTGATCAAACTCGACCCTTAAGATAAGACCACCAAGAAGGAGTACGAAGTAATCAACCTGCCCTTTTTATAATTTACATTAAATGACTTAGAATAAAATAACATTTCCATTCCTTTTCTTTCCAACACCAATACAGGAAACCCTTACGATATTGTAGATTAACTATAATTGTAATTTTATCATTTAACACCTTTAACCTCCTGGAAAATTGAAAAATGGTTCCACGGCTAGTTTCCAGCCGCACCTTTGAACGTATCTCTAGGCCTGCAAACTTTCAGCTGTTTTAGTGTCCTCATCTTGAGGACCTATAGGGATTCTTTCGGCCCCGTCTCGTTCAATGCCACGTGTACAGCAATTCTTCGAGTTTCCCCGCTGTTTTCGCCAGCAAACATACGCCATTACCAAACTAACAGCAAGCACAGCAACTCCAGCACCAACGAAGATGTACATCACTAAGCTGCTGTGGCCCTGGCCGCTCATCCTAGTTTGACCTAAGAAAGAAAATAGAATGATTCGATTTGATAGGAAACGATACAATTGAAAAATGCAAGGGTTTCATCAAGAGACGAGTAGAATTTTCTCCTACAAAGATTTTTATGATATTTCTCTGGACTAAGAAAGTACTCTTATTTACAATGTGGAGTACATGAAGTTAAAAGCTCGGGGAAAAGAAATCGTTGTCAGCATTTTTATGATTTTATGAAGAGCTGATTGAGAAACTCAATACGATAGAGAAAATATGTCCTTCACACAGCAATATTAGATCAACTGAAACCAATTTCGTGGATGAAAACAACAGCTCTATCATCGAGATGGCTTGTACCTGGATCTTGAGTTCCTGATTCGCTTGCTGGCTTGTCAGCTAAGAAAATGAATGACATGGGATGCGATTTAAAATGGACATAAAATCGGTCAAATTACTGAAAACCAGCACAACATCAGTTCGCGTGTATTCTCCGTACACCAAAAGATCTTGATGATTTCCCATGCACATACGTGCGTTTTTTGTCAGAAAATTCTACGTTGAGGTCGTTATGCTAAACATCGGAAAGAATTTAGCAGTAATCAAAACTGTTTTATTTATAGTAGAAGAACTCAGCTTCTTATTATATAGGAATTCCACTCAGACGACCATACACAACCACAAAACTCTCTCCGGTAGGAAGCAAAGCTGTCGGGTGGTGGCGAACTGGAAAACGGGGTTGAAGAGATGGACTCTGGTCTATCAGGAAGAAATGTACCTTTAAGTCAGAGCGAGGCTCGAACCCTGGACATTTGGAGAATGAATGCAACAAACTCGCCACTCGACAACGATGCTTCCTTTGATTAAAAAATCTCAGCAATACCAGAGTTGATGGAATATTCATGCAGTTGCTCAGGTAATATTTAAAAAAGACTCGGTTAGCTGATTATACTATCCTTTGCCAGTTCCTTTTCTCGTTCCCTAATTTATTAATTTATCCACTCCATATAAAGGAAAGTAACTTATTCTTTTGATCATTGTATTTCTGAATTGTTCGTCTCTTAGTGGGTGAGTGGGTAGATCAGTCAGGGAGTCAGTCGGTCAGTCAGACAGTGGGTTGGTGGGTTAGTCGGAGGGCCATCCAGTCAGTGGATTGTTTGGTTCTACAGTTAGTGTGTCAGTCAGTCAGTCAGTCAATCAGTCATTCAGTTGGTCAGTCGGTCAGCCAGTCAGTCATTCATTTAGTTTATCAGTCAGTTATTCATTCAGTTAGTTAGTCAGCCAGTCGGTCAGTTAGTCAGTCCGTCATTCAGTCTGTCAGTTAGCCAGTCAGTCAGTCAGTCAATTATTCAGTTACTCAGTCAGGCAGTCATTCGGTTAGTCAGTCGGTCAGTCAGTTAGTCAGTTACCCTGTCAGTCAGTTATTCAATTAGTCCGTCAGTCAGTCAACCAGTCAGTCAGTCAGTCAATTAGTCAGTAAATCAGTCAATCAATCGATCAGGCAGTCAGTCAATCAGTCGGTCAGTCAGTCACTCAATTAGTCAGTCACTCAATCAGTCACTCCGCCACTCAATTAGTTAGTCAGTCAGTCAGTTAATCATCTAGTGAGTCCCTAGTTCGTTCGTTTCTCTGATAGCTGCTGCTCTAACGTTTAAGGTTACAAAGTCAAACAAGAATTATGACTAAACTATCACCAACCTTTTTCCTTCAATATAAATGTCACCTGATCCGATCCCATTTTGTTTGTTGCAATGCACGTGTAACTTGTAAAGTCTGTGTCATTTATAGGAGTGACTACCAGAGAGCTTGAGTTCCAGGGATTTTTAAACGTCTCGCTGATCCCATCTCTTTGCCTGTGCCAACTTAATACCGGGGATGGATTTCCAGAGGCTATACATGTAAGCGGCATGGAATGCCCTCTCAATAACTCCACCAATACTTGCTCATCACCGGTTTGTATTTTTGGAGGGTCTAAGTGTAAATTTTATCATGGTTAGAAAAACCTGCTTCGTTTGATATAAGCCCACTTTTACTTTTTCAAAACCGAGAAAAGAGAATGATCCAGTAACTAATTGACAGGGACCACGCAGAGGGAGGGGCTGAGGGGGCTTTAGTAAAAAAATACTTGTCCTGTCCCTGCCCTTTTGGCCAAAGCTCATGCGTTTGCCTTTCCCCACCCAACCCTTCCCCCCCTTCTCAAAAATGTGCTGCACAAGCCCAGATTTTTAAGAAGTGCAATAAAAAAAAATAATAAAACAAGTATTTTTGGTTGTCATTTTCTACTCTAGCATTGTAAAGATAATTTATTTTGCGTGTATTAATATTTAGGATTAACCTTACCCTTCAAGCAGGATCGTGGATCTTTTGGGATACGTGGCCGAATAGGGAATCAACAGTACTTGAAATCATATCCGATTAACAAGACCCGAAAGGTTAGTTTGTAAAACAAAGCTTAATCGTTGGTTAACAAAACTGCGTTCTAAAAAATCCTTATTTAAGCCGAACCTTTTATCAAAACATTTATCATTGTGAACAGCGTCAAGATGAATAAAAGCTTACAATAGAGAGATTTTTATTTAATCAAATCAAACCTCTTATAGAGGAAGCCCGAGGCCCTCGGATTGCGTAAAACCGAGGTTAAGGCTAGACTTCGTGTAAATGACCGGCCCCTAAAGTTTCGCAGACCTAAAGATTTTTATTACTTTGAACTGAACTCACATAACACATCAACGGTAGTAACTGGTGAACTGTGATTTCCATATGGTGACAGCGACACACAAATGTACTCTCCTGCTTGCGATCTGCTGACATTTCCAAGGAAGAGAGTCTTTTCGTCTTCATTCTCAATAAGTTTCTTATCTTTCAGCCATGACACCGAAGAATGTCCGTACATTAAGGCGCGACACGTGATGTTGAGGACGTCACCTTCCACTATCTTGATAGTAATGTCTTGGGGTTCTACATTAACAGGGGATTTTGCTAATCAACATCAGTTCACATAACGTCACATAACATAAACTTGCGTCACGTCATAATCTTTCGTGTACAATATGAAATCATATCATTATATTTAGTAAGTCCGATCCCTACGATAGAACAGAAGAAGCGTGCCCTTTGCTAGACTGCGAGGAGTCTTTCCTTTCCGGTGAAATCCGTCGAGGGAGTGAAAAACATTAGCTATAAAGAATTTTCTTTTAGCGCGCTGTGCAGATCTCTGGGAGTGAGGTACACGAAGTTCCACGCAACGCACCAGCATAAATGTATTTTTATGGCTATTTTCTTGCTCACGCGATGGATTTCGCTAAAAAAGAAGGGATTGCTCGTGGTCTACAATTCTGCTTAATTCATCATCATGCAAATGAGAACAAGATTACTCCAAGGCTTTTATGATATGACCTCGATGATTTTGTGTTTATGCTCAAGAAATCACTTACCTGGCGTCCTTGTCGGTATCGAAGGAGGATCCTACAAAGATATAGAAAATTCTTTTAAACTATAATTCCACAGCTAAACTATCCATGAAGAAACCTACCCATGAGTAACATGATATAAGAAAGAGAAAGTTTGCTCGTAGATTTGGATATTCCAAGTAGTATTTGGGAATTTTTAAGAACATATTTTATTCATACATTTTAAGATTTCTCCATTATTCATGCTTCATGACTGGTTGATTCTGGCACATTTACAACCAGCGTCAAAAGAGGCAATATGTAAACACAGGTACAATATTTCAGCTTTTGTATGGTTACTTCATTCACTTGTTTGTTATTTATTCATTTATTTATTTTGCATTTTGCTTTTTTGTTTGTTTGCATATATTTGATTGTTTTTTCTGTTGTTGGGACACATATTTCTGACTCTTCGAGAGAGGTTCTTTTTTAAAGATGGGATGTAAAGAACAAGTTCTTGTATAAAACGTGGTCAACTGAGTAACCATACATTATTCATCAGCTGATCGGCTGGGAAGGGGGACGGGAGGGGGAGGGGGGGAATTTTGTTGTGTCACAACCAAATCTGATCCCCCTTTAAGGCTCTGTAGTATTCTAAAGATCCCCCTCATCATCGGCGGTAAGTTTGCTATGATCCACTTGAAAACTCTGTTGGAGACGACTGATCCCGCTCTATTCCCTCTAACATCTTATGTGATTAATGATGTTTGGTCCCTAATTTTGAAAGCATAAAACATTTTCACCTGCACAGAGAGAGTGAACCCACTCTCTTCAGTCTCTGGTGGAAAACTATCCACACGGAACCGGATTCCATAATCAGAAGAGTCGCGCGCTTGAACATCAGTAAGTTGGAAAGCCACGAAGCCACGTGCCATGTCTCCCACCCAGTTTAAACGCCTTGCAATTGAGGCATTTCCTTTATACACTCTTTCATTCGCTATCGAATCATGAACAAATATTACCAAGTGGTCGCCTAAAACCATGCTATATTCTTTGCTCCAATGACCAAAGGTAACTATCAATACTTTAGCTTTCTCCTCCTCAGTGAGAACAAAATTCCAAGAAAAGGTTTGATTAGATCCAATGAAGGACACTATCGTTTTATTCGGTTGAGTAATCATTTGTAAGGCATTTGCTTTATTTACCACTAAAAAGGAAAGAAAGACAAAAATAGGAAAATTAGATGAGACGTTTTTGCTATTCAGGTACTAATCTTTGATTGGGCGAAAAAACGTTGGAAGAAAATTGAAAATTATTTGAAAAATTTAAGTTCAAAAATTATTTGAGTTTCTAAAATTCAATAATGATGACAGTAATAATAATGATGTAAATGTTGATAATGTGGTGGGCTCGTTGGAAATATTTTAATTCATAGATTTTAAAAATCGCTTCTACAACTTGTATAAATATATGTTTATATGTAGATATATATATATATATATATATCGAATCACTTCCGCTATTTATATTCATATGTATATATTTAATTTTATCTCTAGCCTTAATAAATCGGAAATACAATGTTTTATTAGCTTTTTTAGTCAGAGAATGTTACTTCCATAGGGTGATAAAACCCAGGATCGAAGGTTTCTTATTTAGAGCGATTAGATCCAATGGCAAAAGGTTTGAAATGCTATCTTTTCATCAAAACATATGAATGGCAGGTGGGCACAAAACGTCAGATGTTCCTTTGAAAATGAGTATTGGTACAAAAAAGTGTACAATGTATGCAAGTTAGTCGACGATTGAATAGAATTACTCGCACGGATAGTTTGCTCATTGCGTAGTACGAGCAATGAGAGAATGTCTGCTCGGCAAACCATGACTCGGAAATAAGGGATTTATTGTTCTATTTTACATTGTTCTCTCTCTCTCTCTTTTTCCGGTATTTTGGCGTTTTGTTTTCGAAAAACAGCGGAAGAATTTTAGAATCGTTTCGACCGCATAAGCCACTCGCGAAAGACAAGCTAGGCACTTTTAACTCTTGTAAATATTAATATTTTGTTTCTGGTTGTGATTAAAGACAGATACTTGAAGTCGTAGGTTCGTCAGCTGTCAGTCTGTTATGGCGCCTTCGCATCATGTAGTATGACGAGCTTTGCGTCGGAAAAAAAAAAATTATGCAAATTAGCTGGCTGCACATTGAATGTGCAGCCAGCTAATTTGCATAAGTAATTCAAGCCAAGGTTCGACGCCTCTTGGTGGCATGAGGTGTTCGCTAAACATTCCAGGAAATCCGATAATCGCTTCAAAAAATGTAATTATGCTCCCCTCGAATGAAATGGAAAAAACCGCAACTTCCGATGATTACAATTCTAATCATTTTCAAGATGCAACTCTACTTTGTTCACTCATTTTCCAGAAACAAGAGTCCAGAGAAATGTCTCATACAAGGGCTGTACGCTGAGCTTATTTTCTCTGTAGAGAAAATACATGTCTTATAGAAGACAACAGTAAATCGTTAACACAAGGTCCATGAATATTCCTAACCAAATGTTACAGATCGAACATATAAAAGGAAAAATTTAACATACGTAAAACGAAGAAACTCAAAAATAGCCTAAAAAGCGGCACCGGTAAAGCTAATTTCACCCCCATGATCGAAGATCTAGGCTTACGTAAGGTCAACTCCGACAAAACCTTCTTTATACAGGTCATGGTTTTTAACTTTTAAAGTCCAGAAACTGTGTTGATTAGATAATCCAGAGAATACACATCGCTTTCAACTGATGGTCTCCTCGTTCGGTCTTCAAGCTTCGGCGGAATGCAATTATTCTTATAATCACCTTTTATGTAAGAAGGTTTCAGTTTGGAACGGCATTTTTAGCCTTTCCGAAGACATCCGTCTTGCCAAAATCGACTTTAACAGGGGAGAAGCTGGTCTAAAACATCGTTATTGCATTTTAGGTCATTGGGAACAAATTCACACGTATGAATATCGTCTTACGCGACTGCCGAGTTAGGAGGGATAAGAAAAAGGTAAAAATAACCCTCAGGTATACGATACCCAAGAGGGTATAGAAGAGATTAAAAATAACCATCAGGTAAACACTACCCAAGAGGGTATGGGAGAGATAAAGAATAACCCTCAGGTATACACTACCCAAGAGGGTATGGAAGAGCTTAAAAATAACCCTCAGGTATACACTACTCAAGAGGGTATAGAACAGATTAAGAATAACCCTCAAGTATACACTACTCAAGGGGGTATGCAAGAGATTAAAAATAACCCTCAGGTATACACTACCCAAGAGGGTATAGAAGTGATTAAAAATAACCCTCAGCTATACACTACCCAATAGGGTATGCAAGAGATTAAAATAACCCTCAGGTATACACTACCCAAGAGGGTATGGGAGAGATAAAGAATAACCCTCAGGTATACACTGCCCAAGAGGGTATGCAAGAGATTAAAATAACCCTCAGGTATACACTACCCAAGAGGGTATAGAAGAGATTAAAAATAACCCTCAGGTGTACACTACCCAAGAGGGTATAGGAGAGATTAGGAATAACCCTCAGGTATACACTACCCAAGAGGGTATAGGAGAGATTAGGAATAACCCTCGGTATACACTACCCAAGAGGGTATACAAGAGATTAAAAATGACCCTGAGGTATACACTACCCAAGAGGGTATAGGACAGATTAAGAATAACCCTCAGGTATACACTACCCAAGAGGGTATAGAAGAGATTAAAAATAACCCTCAGGTATACACTACCCAAGAGGGTATAGAAGAAATTAAAAATAGCCCTCAGGTATACACTACCCAAGAGGGTATGCAAGAGATTAAAATAACCCTCAGGTATACACTACCTAAGAGGGTATAGAAGATACTAGAAATTAATCCACTACTCAAGAGGGTATGCAAGAGATTAAAATAACCCTCAGGCATACACTACCCAAGAGGGTATGCAAGAGATTAAAGGTAATCCTCAGGTATACACTACCCAAGAGGGCACGAAAAATTGAATTCACACTAATTATTAATTATATAATTATTATCCTTTACTAGTTCCCGAATGTCTTTGTCGAGCTCGGTTATTCTTGACTGACATCCTTGCAATTTCCCATGATATTTCGACTGGAGGCATTTCCCGCCTAAAGTGTACGGTCGGGTGCGATTTGATTACCGCATCAACAACAAGATTATGTTTTAAGACCTCGTGAATCCATCTGCTGGATTTCTCCCTGTTTAATTAGTCCGGCACAGAGACCACTTGAAGATATAACATGCATGTTGTTTGGTTACCTGGCGTTGAACGAACAGCCTTTGTTGGCGCGCTTGAGACCTGCTGGCGGGACAGAACGTATTGTAGTCATCGCGGAATCGACGAAACAATTCATTCTTTGCAAAAGCTTTCGGCCTGATTTCACATTAACTTTTCGTTAGCACATACCAGGACTTTTTGGGGTCGAGATTGGATCCCGTAACTATAGAAAGTCGACTCAGCCGATCGATCGAGGACTTCAGCCTCCATGATAAGATCGCGCCAAGTGATTTCAATGCCAGATTTCTTGTGTTTTCGTAATTGAAATTCGAGCATAGATGCAGTATTAATTATTAGGTGAACCTTTAACTTAAAATCAACAGGTTTAAGTAACTGCATAGACACCTACCGACCGCAAACGTTGATGTAATTCTCTACACTGATGACAGAAATATAGCGCCTCCGTAGAATGCATGCTGCGAATTTTTTTCGGGGCCAAAGCTCCTCATGGCAGATACGAACACATTTTATCTAAAATGTAATCAGTGGTGCCTGAATTCTCCCATAGTAAAAACCCAAAAACTCGGCTATCTCGAACTCCTAGTTAATTTCATCCAATTTTGTTTACCCTTGGATCAGATTTTTCCTATAATTCAAACTTTGTAAACGTCGATCGTAAACGCCAGTATTACAACAAAGCTTACTGACACACCAATCTTTCTGAAACCATTTATGAAAGCTTCATAAATTTAGCGGCTGAACTTCCCAAACTATACCTTCTTTTCAAAGCTTATAGAACAAATGAATGTAAGAAAATCACTGCGGACTGTGCAAGAATGGTATAAACGTGATCCCTTACTGATTATCTACAGGTTTAATGATTAAATTTAGCACCAAACCTTAAATTGCAACTCGAATCTCCGCTTATTTGTTTCATTTTACCTTTCTCTTCTGAATTGAGTTTATGAGGTTCTGCTATCATTGCCAACATTTGTGTGCTGCTTTTTACTGAGCGAATGCCTTGCGGCATTAACCCCTTTTACCGCTGAAATGCAGTGTTTTCTATTCTAAGTACAACTAAGACTATAAGCAATAGACTTGAAGCAGTACTTGTCGCTCACGGAAACTTTGATCAGCTGTGTTTCGTTGGCTACCCACCTTCTTCAAGCGTCAACAGCAGCACAACACAAAGGAAAAGAGGGTATGTACTCTTCTTCAAGCGCTGAGCATGAAAAACTCTCATTGTGAAGGTGATTGAATGATCCAGCATGGAGTGATTTCTTGCGACTAAAAATTCATTTAAAGCGATGACGCCAAGATTAAGATTAACAAGATTATGCAAATTTACTAAAACAAAATAAACTAAAATATGCAAACCAGTTTGACCTTTACTTTTTCACTGAGTTCTGTCACGTGCGGCACAGATGTTCTTATGGTATTTGCTGTTGACGCGATTAGGACTTGAACAAAAAAGCATGTCGCTCATCCCTCTACTTTCGTGAAATGAAATGACTACGATACACGAGTGATGAGAAGACCCTCTATCAGTCTTCAAAAATAGTTGCAAGTGAGATAAGTTTGTTTTGTCATCTGAGTCGGTAATGTGAAATGACCATCGCAAAGGGATTTTTAAACTGACTTTCCAGCGTTTTGGACTCGCTCTGACGAAGGGATAATGATCGAAACTTCAACTTTAAAATCCTTTTACGATGGCCAATTCACTCGCTCAAAGTGACTTTATTGTCTAAACCTACGCATGCATGATACCAAGTTTATGCTTGCACGATTCCGAGAAGTTACAAAAAAGAAAACTGTCTCGTTTCAAATGGAATCTGTGGCTAAATCACTAAAAGTTCTTTAGGAGATCACTGATTGAGAAACGCACTCTACCAATCTACACAATTTTAAGCCACATGTCGGAAATCTTTAGTCGTCTTGAACAAGCAAAGTGGCCCCAGTTTCTGAATGACGGCCACGTCGGGTCCCAATAATGAGTGCTCCAACAAGCCCCAGAGATATAGTACCCAAGACCCCCGCCAACACTCCAACCAACAAGACCGTCTTGGATTTGTCCTTGATTATGGTTGGAGTTTCACCAGATTTCATGGCTGAAAACAAAAATGATGACAATTATTGCAAAAAAAAAAAAGAGAATTGTAGAAATCTTGGCGGCAAATATTTCAAACAAAGATTTACTCAAGTTTTTGAATACACTAAAAGAACAATTGAATTATCCTTTATTTCTGGCACACGAATTAGCTTGTTAAACAAAAAAAAGTAACATTTGGAATGTCAAGGTGCTTGTTCCTTTTAACCGGCCCTCCCTTCCCCGACCTTCCTTGCTCCCCCCTAACTTTCTCGCCCTTTTCTTCTCCCGTACCAGTTCCTTAGGAGTCAAAATACCAAGTTACCAAGCCTGTGCACAGAAATGAGACCGAGAGTAACCTTGTTGTGAAACAAACCCAGTTATTTTTCAACTAGGTTATCTGCAAACTATGCTGCCTTTTACACTATTAGAGGTTTCATATATTTATCCCTTTTCAAAGCCCATAAGATATATACAGGTATTTACTAGCTTGTCTAGGTAAATTTTTGTTTTCACTTTGTGGCGTTCAGTGACAAAGCTGTAAGAGGATTGGGACAGATTGGTGGCTCCGACGCCAATGTTTTGCTTGTTTTTATTTTTTGTCTGTTTGTTTCTGTTTTGTTTTGTTTTGTTTTGTTTTTTTCATTTAGCACTCAATAAAACTCCAACGACGCCGACTAAAACTTTAAATTTTATTAACTCACCTTTATCTTGTTCATTAGTCATTTTGATTGGTCCGACGTACAGTTCAGTACGATATTCGTCGTGGATATTCCTCTTTCTCCTGGACTGATTTCCCTCTTCTTGACATCCCGAATCACATTTGGACTTCTCGTCGTCTGAGCGACAGACAGTCAGCTTGCAGTGAATGTAAACGTCGTCGTATCCTTTCTTAAAACGAAAGGCCACAAAGCTGAAGTTCTGATAGGCTGATTTTTCGTATTCGTACTCCAAGTATCTGTCGCGTGGGCAGCTAGAAGGAGTTGACATTGGCAAACATTTTGTTACTGTCAATCTCACGATGAAATGCGAACATGCGCGATGTTAAAACCATTATTGTTTGAAAATTTTGTAAACCTGAGTGAGTGAGTACAGTTCCAATCAGGGTGTGAGTGTAACGAGGCCAAAAGTTAATCTTCTCTTTTCCGCTAATTCAGTCTCATCGTCAACAAAACATTAACGAGTAATCAAACCTTTTTGATGTTTTGCATATGTACCCAATATTAACAGGGAAATTGTCCTTAGCCGCCCCAAAAGTGGTTTATGTTAGACAAATGATTTCAAGTGCGATTTACAATGAATATGTAAAATTAAATTTTCCAAATACAAGAGATTGTTGCTATATTTCGAAATTCACAATAATTTATTCCATTGTTTTTAACGATTACGCCGTCAATTTTAACTCGCTGCACTGTTTAAGACTGATTGACATGTTTTCAGACAATCTGTACACTGTCATTTTTGCGAGGGCGCACCGCACCTATTCCATTACAAATGTTGCGTTAGCAAAGCGTATTGGGCCACAACTTACCCTTGCTCGATCATTTTATGGTCCGGTTTAGCATTGTACTCTGTTGAAGGTGTTGCTTTGCATTCATCCGGGAACAAGCTCAAATCCGAGTCACCTGATTGCACCTTCAAGCTGATGTACAAGCGCTGGCTGATACCAACCAAGAGCGGGAATTTCTCTACCTTTTTTGAGTTTTCCTTATCAGTGTACATGTTCATAAGGTAAGTGAAATTACCGTAATTCTCTATCAAAAAAGAAATAAAAATGAAGAAAAAACATTTGGCCTGAGTGAATAAAGAGTTCGAGGTCCGTGCTGTAAGTTATAGACCGAGTATTTTCCGCTCAAATTTATGGCCCAAGCGCAAGGCACGCAAGCCATAAATCATAGTATAACTTACTGTACGGACTGGATAAACAAGGTTGGTAGGATATCTATCATATCTCTGGGTTTAAATAGAAGGGGAAGATTTCGATTTAATCAAATTTTTGAGTTTAGCAGGCCCTGTAGTACATGAAATATGGCCCGCTAAATTGACCAGCCATTGCGCAAGTACTTACTAAAGTACTAGGCGCAAGTACATAGCGCAAGTACATAGCGCAAGTACTTACTTACTAAGGCATAAATTGAAGTAATATAAGCAATATACAAGTGTTACAAGTCATGATGAATAAAAATTAAATGAATTTTTCACCACCTCTTGAAGAAAAGGTAACAACTTTCGGCTGAATGGGAAACAAAATGATAAGATTGAACAGTTATCCTCCATCAATGATAGAGTCTCTCGTCAATTTCTTGTCTGTTACACACAAAAAATTGTTAATAAGCAATTTTTTACTTTGAAAATAACAAATTCTCCGTCATTTTTTAAATGCATTTGCTGAAAGATGTAGAGTACAAAGAAAAGCTTGGTGTTAACACCAAACGTAGTATTAGTACAAACCTGCGTCTGTAACCACCTGGACGTAACGAGGAGAATATGACACTTTGGAAAGAAGGGTCTTCTTTTGGTATGAACACTTGAAGGGAAGTATTCTTGTGCTCTTTCGAGTGATGTCTGCCTCATCAACCACATCCCTTACTACTGCAATGATCCTGTTACTATACGACACCATCTTTCCATCATCCTCGTGTTTGGTCTTGCATTCTTCTAAGCCAAATCTGAATACAGCCTTGGAGTCATTTTTATAAACGGGCACACACGCCTCATCTTCAAGATGAGTTACATTGGTGTCAAGGCCGGGGTAGTTTTTGCTTTCCACAGTCACTTCAATGAAATCACTGTGGCATGCAATTTCTAGGTCTGAAAAGCAAGAAAAATATACTCGATATATATTAAAAAAAAAACAACAACAACAACCAAAAGCTTTCTATAATGTTTATCTGAATTTCCATAAAGGCTTTTTTTTTTATATTCTTTCAAGAAATGGTATTCACTTGTGTGCGGGGACTCTGCTCAAAGATTTACAACAAAACAAGTAAAGAAATACAAACTTTCCCTTTCTCGCTTGGTACATAACTCTATCAGTCATGTATTTTACAATCCCAGAGAACTAGAGAGACTCTTTTTTAATAGTGCGTATAATCATAAACATACTTACTTGCTGCATCATCAATCACCATTTCTCCTTGACTGGCATTTGTGGGAAGTTCTGAATTCGTAAGTTGACGAGAACAAAGCAAAAAAGAGAGAGATAAACTCATTACAAATGCTTTTTTTTAATATCTATATTCTGTACCATGAAACAACTTTTCTGTGTGTAGGATGTGACATAATCTAATTTGACCAGCTATAATGAGCTGAAACACGGCATGGCGTGGTGCGATAGCGTGACTTGGTGCAACGTTGTGACACAGGCTTGAAGTAGTCTGACGTGACGTTATGATATGCAGCATTGCTTGAACAACATCATGAATGACCTTGTAAGAAAGTAGCAATGATTTTGACAAACTCAATTGTGTTATTCAGTGCTTGGGACTAAAGCAAGGTCAGACGACAAAGAATTCATTTGGAATTCATTGTTCTTCTTTTTCTCATAATCATTTCGCTCAGCGCGTGAATAATCATTGCGTCGGTAATCAGTGCGTGAACAATCGGTTTAATTATTCTATTGAATCTCACACCGAGAAGGTTGTTTTCAGCACGCTATGCATCTAAAGATATGAGGTGTTCCAGAGAACCACACAATGCGGCCTTCATTGTGCACTTAAGACTTGATTTGTCTGTGAAGTAGAGTTCGTCCGTTTGATGAGTGTTCCTTGTTCTAGGGAGGGACGCACTTGGGTCTCAGAGAAGAGCCGAAACTTGACAAACTTTCTATTCGTTTTTCAAAGTATCTTTTAACCAAACCATCATCGGTTTCCTTTGTGTTTCGGTACTTTTTCTGCAAGTCAATGGCTGGTTATTTTGTCTACAACGAAAAAAATGGTGTTCTAAAATTGGCAATAATTTATCCGCGGCCAAGACTGTAGACCGTCGTGTGTCGAATATATGAGTAACAGAGAAAGGCTAATATATAAACTTATCGGAATCGCATGAAAACTGTACCCAGTTTAGGTAATAAACTTTATCATGATAGTTTTATTGATCGGTGTTTTGAATGATGAAGAACACGGCCACACCTATCTTAATCTGGGCGACTAGAGTGTCTATGAATTCTAAGTCTTACTGAGCAATGACCTTGTCGGTGTTGACTCTACATCAGAGTTGTAAAATTTATTCGAGTACAGCATATAATTGGCTTTGGGCGTTCCAACACTAGCAACACACACACACCCATTCAATAAATTCGTCGTGTACTCTCACAGTACAAGCCAAGTTTTAAAATATTTTGGTCGAATATCTGAGTTAACAACTCATGATACTAGAGGTGCCAACCGAGATCGATTGCAATGTGATAGTTGACTTGTGGTAATTAAAAATCTAATATACAGCAAGCCCACTGCAATGTCGACAAGGCTGTTGTTGGTATACTAGAGGCTGAACGAAGAAAAATCAGTGCCTTAAGTGCGAAGATTGAATAGCATGCGGCGAAGGGTAAGCTGAGACTTGACAGTTATTGATATATACAAAATGAGAGAGACAGTAAAAGTTGTTATGTGTTCATAGAAGACCGAAATTTGTGGATTCCATTTCCATCGATGTTGTCTTCGTTGCACTGAAGGCGTGTATAGCAGTAGAAATGCATGCCTTACGAAATTTTTCTAAATCCATGAGGAATATGTAGCTGATTAAAGGTAACATATAATAAGAGTGGAAAAAGGTCGTGGATTGATCATGAAAACAAATGAAAAAACGAAATCGCGTGAAGCCCTAATTTGTGAACAAATGACTTTCCCGCCCCATCGATTAGACGTTTTAAAACAAATTTAAGTGTGACAGAGATACTAGAACGTACCTTGTGTACATGACAAGTTGAATGCCACGAAAAGGTTCAAGAAAAATACAAATATATGCCGCCTCATTTTCTACTGCCAGAGAAAGAATGATACAGTAGAATGTGCTCGGTGAAAAACCTCGCCTGCAGAATTGACACTCTCTTTATTTGTTGCTCGCCTGATCTGGCGGTGACAAAATTCCCAGACGAAGGTTTCTTGACAATGCTTATTGTTTTGACCTGTATGAGTACTTTGCGACACATCGACCTCCACGAAGTCTCAAAAACAAAAGAGAAATGAAATTCTAATAAGATAATGTTGTTGGACACGAGGAATAAAACAATGGCCCTTGACTGTATGAACACCTTTTTTGAACCGGAAATGAAGGCAGTCCTGCTGTAGTTATTAGCGTTTGTTTATTCACAGGAGCCGATTGATAATCCTTTTATTATGGAGGCTGTCAGCTGGAGTTTACTTTCTATCGTTATTAAAATTTCCCATGCGATACATTTTGTAAATACTATAAGAACTTCTGTGCTGTCCATGACAGAACATTAAAAAAATAATGTTCAAACTGGTTTGCATATTATAGTTTATTTTTAAGTAAAAATAACTGGAACAGAGTTAAGATTACGAAAGTCGACTATCAAAAGCACTTAATACGATGTCTTGTCTGTTGGTAATAAGGAGAAAGGTTATTTCCAAATGTTCAAATAATTCTAAGATTTTACGATGGATGAATAATTATCCAATAAGCAGCCATATTGAACACTTATTTAATTGGTAAGCAGTTTTTGCTAAGTTTTTCTCTAAGGAGTTTGGTCTGAACGGCTGTATTCATGAGACGCTATTAATATTCAATTTCTTTGTTATCACTTATCTCAAAATGTTCCTCTAAATGGCCACAGGGCGCCTCTCTGATGTGATCGATGACCATGGCCTTCAGGACTATTAGGGATTCTTAATCTAATACAGCACTGCCACACCAAAAAATCATCTCTAAAATCATACGAAGCGCTTTTAAGTAATGCTGAACGAGACACTAAAAAGAATTGGAGTTCAAGTAGCCTAACAGCTTATATGTCATGGAGCGTAAAAGTAAAGAAAAGCAAATAACAGTAAGATGAACAAACAAACAACCAACAAATTTATTTATCAAGTAATCCGACAATTTTCAAGAAAGAAATCGCTGGAGCCAGTGTATACTTCATTTATAAAATTTCCAGAATTGGTAACAAAAAGTGAATTTGGGACAATTCTGACACACTAGTGGTTAGACGTCGAGCATGGAAAAATTGGCGTGCAAAGTGTTATGCATTAAATTCAGGATATCGCTTCATCCAAAATGCAGCCTCTACGAAATTGGAAGTAGAATCTTCCTCTTTTCTTCCAAAGTAATAAAAACATTCACCACACAGTGGAGAAAACAGACACCTACTCCGATCTGCTCCAGATCCGAAAAGAACGGATATTTTAGGGCATTCCCTGGTTAAACTTAGAGGCACGATTGTTATCCACGTGTAGTCATCAAACATGATGCTCCCATTTAACTAAAGGTGGTAAGTTTCTAAAGAAACTGTGAAATAGTATAACATGGACATTCACTCTGACGAAGGGCTAGCAATCGAAACATTAGCTTTGAAAGTATTTACGGTGGCCAATTTACGTTATCATGCTTTCATCAAGCCCAAAAGGAAAAAATTATCATTTCTATTCTTGTTTCACTTGTGGTGTTTGTTGCAAAGGAAAAATGATGAACTACGAGCAACCCGTCGACATTAGGAACTAAAAGCATTTACACGTACGACGAACAAAAACTGACCAAAAGTTATAATTGGATTTTGTGGTCACATTAAAAATATGACAGGTGCCAATGATGAGATTCTAAAATAGAAAAGTAAGAAAATAAATATATCGCCCGTGCATATTTTAATGTAGACTTCGAGCAATTGCTAGTTTTGGGCGAAGTCTATCGCGTTAGTCAAGAGTAAAAAATTCCGTCAACACGCAGCGTGCTAACGTCAATATCTTTTTTCACTGATTTTGATTTATTCGCGCAGTGAATTTCGCCGTAAAGCAGGGACTGCTACAAGTCTAGTTTCAATAAATTTCAAGCATATATATGGAAATTACATGTTACAGAGTTACAGCTTGATTACGTATGAATCTTGAATGCTATTGGACCCTTACAATTATGACGATGTCATTAAATATTGAGCACAGAACATCAAAGTGTGATTTACGCCTACCATTACTTCAAATAATTCGAAATTATTTAGTGAATATTTTCTTAAGAGAACGATTTCCGAAAAGGGCAATAACTACAAGATATACCCACTTCCAGTAAATAATTTTTATACGTCTAAAATGTTATACTCCTGAAAATCGGTTAGAACTTCGTCATCGTTATCCAAAAACAAGAGTAGAAAGAGAGATAGAGAGAAACAACAAATTAAAACAAAAACAAACAAAAGAAGCGTACACACACACACAAGACGTTCGCGTGAAAGCAAACCCGAAGATCACATTGAAAGAATCTGGTCGATTAACACGATAAAAAACGTTTCAGTCAAAAATGTCAAAATGTAAGCGTTGTATGTCTATAAAACAGCTGGATAAAATCCGGTTTTAATGGACAGCCTATGATGACCGCAAAAGACAAGCATCAAGATGGCTGTAATACATGTTAAATTGGCAGTGTTTTCATTTCTGTTTGGTTTGGCTTTAACTAAAACTTGCGATACACTTTTTGGAAACCCAACCCAAGCAAGGAATCAAGATCGAATTTTTGCAGGAAAGCGCATTTCGTCTGAGATGATTCCAGCATATGTCCCCGATGGCATATTCACCGTTACTGGTTGCCTGGACAGTTGTCTACGGTTTCATCACTGCACCTCCTTCGATTTCATGCAATCCTCAAAATTTAATGGGAAGATCTGTAAGATTTACGGCGGTAACCAACAGAATGTGCGTTTGACGTCCAAGCGCGATTGGATCCATTTTAACATGAGTTCTGCATTTTTAAGACAGGTAAGCTGAATTGTAAAATTATATTTAGAAGAATAAGCATAACTTTGACTTTTGAGTAATAGTACGTTAGGATTTAAATGAGAGGAGCGAAATTTGATGCACTTTTACAACCAACTAAGACATATTTCGTAAATCGTCTCATCAAATCTTCCTAGTAGAATTTAACGATTCCCATCAGGTTAAAATTTAACAGCGGGGTATTTCTCTAATTTGTCTTAATTTTATACTTGGCATGTGTCTTCACTAATGAAGTTACCAAAATATAACAAAATTTCATTTCCATTTTATTACTAAAAGAAATATGATAATAAATATGTGCGTACGACGCCCGAATTCACGTCGATTTCCAGTCCCGCGAGTGTTATGATCTCCCGCGGGTATCGACCCCTCACTAAGTTGAATCGCTTCGATCTGGATGTCATGGGAAGATATGTAAATAAATTCCACCCATTTGATCAGAACAAGGGTTTATAATCTCTAGATCAGAATTGTGAGCTACGACATTTATAGATACCTGTAGATTCACTTGCACCTTGGAATTTATAATCGCCAAAAAATATATATCATGATGTCTAGTCCGATGCTAGATCGAACGCACTTTACAAATCCATGATTATTACTAGTTTTAAATCACGTTACAGGCCTGCAGCAGCGTAAAAATATATTCATGTCCCTCACAAAAAAATTATATTGCGTTGTGTAGATACATAGATGGCCATCATTTGAAGGTAAAACATCAAAACTATCGTCAGAAGAGAAAACAAACCAACAAAGCAAAACAAAACATAGCAAAACAGAACAAAAATCTGGCGAGAAGGGGAACCATAAACCTGCTACGGTGGAGCTGAAATGAATACTCTAGACGTCTAAAAACTTGTCCAGAGTGAGATTCTGGGCTCACATTTACTACCACGGACCCTTATTCAGCTCACTTGTGAGAATTTCTGTCTAAAATCAGGTTGCTTGCAAGATTGAATGCAACGTTCCCCGTCCGTATTGCTACAATTCGCTGCATTGTACCAACTGCATAACAGCTTTCAAGTGCAAAAATTTATTAAAAATCTCTCGTTACCTTGGTTATTATTATTTTGGTTTTTTTTTTAATATTTTATCAGTAGAGAACAGGGTAAGTTAAACGAAATCAGGTCGGACATCCACAAAAAAATTATTGACCAGAAGACTTCTTTAAGGCAGATTTCCTATAACTTTTTTTCTTAACGATTTTGTTTTAGCAAAGACCATAGTTAGCAATTCAATCGAAGTAGATTATTCTCGTTTCAGCAAATTAAGCGATAGTTTTGACTCGACAATCATCGTCGTTATTACACTCAGCCTTACAATTAATTCTTTCTATTTAACTGATTCTTTTATCAACACGTTACTAACTGCGGTTCATTAGTAAATAATCAAATCTCTTCCAGTGATAATGAATTCAATACCGCCTACGCTTGTTGGAAAGCTAAATTATTCTTGTTTCAGAGCAAAATGTCAGGTCATTTGGTCAAATTGATTTCACAGTATTCGTACGGTAACACTTTGGTCTTATCCTCAAAGTCTAACAAGTTAGCCCAAGGCTTTTGTCTACTCAACGAAGCAACCACAAAATCACTTATTTACTCATCAGTCTTCCCAGTCAAGTATCTCCAATTATCTAAAAATGGCTACCACAGGCTTTTTGAAAGTTTCCTGGCTTTTATTGTATTGTTTCATGTCATCAACTCGAATCAACAATTCCTGTCAACAGGATGGACTCTTAAGGTTTAAAGAAATCATTGATAGCAATAGAATTGGTGGACATCGATTAGCAGACATGAACATGATTGTTTTTGAAAAAGATGTGTTTACTAACCTACAGTGCTTAGATCTTTGCTTGAGAATTAAAGTTTGCGTATCTATTGATATAAAAAAGCAGAATACACAGAGAAGTTGCAGAGTAAACCGCGCAAATCCAAAGTATTTTATCATAGAAAACGACGACTGGACACATATAAATGTGAGTTCAAGGGCATTAGAGGAGGTAAGTTCCGGTCCAATATGTGCTATTCTGTTCACTTCTTTTGTAAGGGAAATGCTGCACTCAATCAAAATCTTGCAGTTGCAGCACGTTTTCACTTCGAAATACATCTTTTGATTTTTAATGTTGACAAATTCTCGAAACTCGAAAACTACGAAAGATAATCATAGTCCAAAGCAAAACTGAGGAAGCTTTTAACATAAGGCCTGATCTTTTCTTCCGTCATTTTTTTCAATCTGAATTTTCATAATCACTTCAATTGTTTCTTGCTTTGATCAATATTTCAATAACATCTTTACCTTTCAGTTCAATAAATGATTCTTACAAATGCTTTCAGAGAACAAAAAGGTGGTACTTAAATTTAACTCAACACAAAATTCAATAACATCCTCTCGGTTTTCCTAACAAACCATACATATCCATTTGAAAGTGAAATCAAAATTCTATGTTCAACACTTATCCTTGTTTTAAATTCATTCCAACTCCTCGTTAAGCCTTGCGTTAATTTACTGGTTTACGTGGGTAACCTTTGATTTACATAAGATCATAACCACTTCTTAGAGTTATTGAATTTACTGGATTTTTTCTCTTCCCTCTTTTTTCATTGCTGACTGTTGTGACATTATCTTTGCATTGGCGATAAAAGTCCCGGGTTTTTGGATTTGCATGTTTATCATCTAATATTTTATTATCTACGAACATACTTTTATTGCTTTATTTTCCGTATAAAAATTCATAAGTTTGCCATATTTGCTGCAGTGTTAGGAAGAGATTTTGTATTCGAAATGATAAAATTTAAGTTAAAATTAAGTCAGGAAAATTGCACCTGTTTCTAGTTTTTTCCTGATTATACCCTTTAAATAAGATCAATTGTCAGTCACTGACAATATTGAATTGTAAGGGTTAAGAGTAAGCTATGTTAAAGATCATATCCTCTTTTAGTTAAGCAATATAATATTGCACCACTTTTGATAGAACGTGAACTTGCTTTCTGTTATCTGTTTCCGAATTATCTGCAAATGCATCCAGCATAGCATGTAGTTCTCAAGGTTACAGTGTAAACTGATAACACGAAAAAGGCAATAATGTTTTTTTTGTTCCAGATTCTTGCGTCGGCAGAAGACGAATGCAAAGAGAAAGACACAGGTGATTTCATTAAAATTGAAAAATATATTGCATACCCATAAATCACTATCAGTCAATAGTCGATGTCAATAAACTTCTTAGGTAACTGGAGACTGCAGCCGTTCGGATTTGTGAGAACCTGTATTTTCAATAAAAGGAAATACGAAGAGAGTACAGCCAACCACAGTGATTGTGAGATTTAGACTGACAGGAGTGGGAATTTGGCTTTCATGACTGCAAAGGCCTCTTCTTTCACATTATTGAAGAGTTTGGAAGAGGGTTAAAAATCGTTCATGAGCTGCGAACTATAATATTATAGCTAAAACTTTAATATTTGTTATTAAAAGCATGCATAGAGGTCATAGAGGAACCCGCTGAGGTTGATTGGGAAAGGAGGAATCTGGATGTGCCAAAACAGAATTTACCTCATTTCTGATTTTTACCCTCTCCCCAAGCTCTGAGGTATTTCAATAATTCCCCTAAAATTTCCCGGCAATTTTTTTTCCATCGTATCCCCTTAATATTCTGTATTCTGTATTCTGTCAGACATGTTTAAGCGTGCGCGTCTATGGGAAGATAAAGCGGGAGGAAAATATTCTATTCTATAAACACATGGCATATTAACCTTAATCTAAAACTCTCCTAATCTTCCCTCCAGGTGAGTTTCGAGGAAGGTCACGAAAGCGGAATCATATGAAATTAACGTAAATTCAACTGCGGCCTTCCTTGCAAACCTATACATAAATTTCGTAGATTTCGTCGATAGCCTGTCGAATAAGCGAAAATTTCGCAGTTTTCGTATATTTCGTTGGGCCTATCCGTATAACTATTTGAATTAATCTCGTAGACTTCGTCGATGGTCTTGCTCATTTCCGTAAATTCCGCTGTTTTTTCTATCTGCGTTAAATCCCGGACATTACTCCCCAAAATTATGCACAAGGCCTTGCTTGGTTGAAGAGGGTCTGGTCAGCCTACCTGACAAAAAAGCTAATGTCAAATACGTATTTCACTCGCAATGGAACTGTAGACATTAGAATGAAAAGTTTTATTTAATTGGCATGAAATGTATTTTTTCAGATGAAGCGAGTTTCACTTTAGAACTTTCGTCACAAACGCCGACTGCTGTGTCACTGGATGAGTATTGCAAGACCAAAGCACTAACTGTTGATTCATGTACTCAGAAGAAGAAGCAGGGAAACTGTAGCGGAGTCTGGGAGGCTCGAATTCTTGCAAATGGATGGTGTTGTGTTGACCCAGAAAGTTCAAGCCAACACTGTTGCTGTCCTATCCCACAGTAGATACCTATGCTACATTCATTTCACATCCTGTTCTACTTTGGAGCCCTTTTTAGAGACTGCAGTGGGAGGCTTACCATCTGCCTGACATTAATTATAAACACGCAAAGCATTGCTACTTAAAAGAAATTTCAAGCGCCTTTTTTTTCTGTAAGCATGTGTAATTACTTTTTTTTCAAAAATATTTGTTTCGAAGGATTAATTAGCTTAAAAGAAAAATAATACTACCGAAATTGAAAGAGAACTAACATCAAAAGAAAGACATGCTAGCTATTTGCCTGTACAAAGCCGGCTATTATTGTACCATGTTGTTTGAAAGCGCGCTCTGACGAAGGGCTAACGTTTGAAAAGTCAGCTTTGAAAATCTTAACGGTGGTCAATTGACGCTATCAACTCAGTTGATAATACCAAATTGCTTTTTTATACTCTCTGACCGACGTGGCACCACAGTTTCTTTAGAAACTCACCTCCCTTATTGTTTGAAAGATGTCACAATAGGACTTAGCATGTTTACGTCGGAAAACCAAATTTCCTCTACGCCCACGCGTATAAGGTGCAGTATGGTAAATTTTTTGAAGAGAATTTTTCCAAAGCACTGAAACCAAAAGAGCAGCGTATCCACGTAGAAAGAACAAGAAAGTCGAAATAATTTATAAAAATACTATTGTAAACGAGGCTTGAGAGAATTTTCAACAAATGACGCCATCTTGTTTAAGGGCTAATTTTTCAAAGTGAACTTATCCGTGACACATTTCATTCTAAAAGCATTAATAAAACATTCAAAGCTTAACAAGCAAATCACATCACCAAGTCGTGAAGCTTCCTGGCCTGATTCAGCAAGGTTGAATCCAGAAAGACAGTTTACCGACCGCATCAAAACTTCGCATAATTAAACACTAAACATCTATAAATTCATTTCCAGCTTCCAATAAGATATGGTTCTAACTGTTCAAAGGACGGATATCCAAAGACTAATATAAATCGCTATCAATCACATAAGTGTTTAAAAACCTACAACGCTATCCAATGCATCCTGTGCACAGTGTCATCGAACTTTCGAACATGCTGGGCCTAGAGAAAAGGAAGTTGATACATCTACCCGACCGATACTTGATTATGAAACTCTAATCTGGAAAATAAGTGCTAATACCGATACGAATGAAGCCTAATTGGTTTTATAAATTTTGTTCAGTTCGAGTATCCAAAGCAGTCTTCCTCAGGGAGAACTAATGGCAGATTATTTCCGAGGTTCCGGTAACAAGTCACCGCGTGCATTTCAATCAGTAGAAAACAGAAACTCTCTGAATGACAGCCGTACGTAATGGTTCGATTTGCAGCTGTCTTAAGGAAAAAGGAACTCCAGAAAGTTAATAGGTAAAAGCTACCTTGGTTTTCTTTTTTTTTTAATAAGTACTTGCTTTGTTTTTGGTAATATAGGAAACATATCCTGTCAATAATTCTGGCATGGTGTTTGACAACACAAAAAAAAATACACATATTACTGCTTCCAGCTAATTGTTTTTAATCAATGAGATGATACTGGCTTGTTTTTCCCAAGATTGCAATAATAAAGTGCAAAAAAAGGAAAAGAATCACTCGCGAAAAGTGGGGTTAAAATTTTGATGGCGGGAACACACTGATTGGTTTTGCTTCTGAGTTTTAATGGATGCTAAGCAAACACTAGCATATGGCCTAATCCCTTGATTTCCATCTGTTGATTTAACTCTGACAAAAAGATATTAAAATATCCGGCGAGAAAATGGAAATAGTACGTATGAAAGAAAATTTGCGTTTTGGGCAAATAAGTGTTATTTGTTCACATTGAATTTAACGAGTGTTTTTTCGGAAGACTTACCGCTGTGGCAATTAAATGGCAAAGTTATACATCGCAACGGTTGTGGTTTGCTCTGCTTTTGCAATTGGTACTCTGATTAACCCATGCCAAAGAGGGTATAGATCATTTCGAGATACCTTACAAAAACATCGGCGGGAAGGAAGGGTGCTGTCAAATTCAACCGTGTCACTTCCAAGGCAGTTTGTTTTCACCAAGATGCAATGTCTTGAAATATGCTTGAGGAATCCTCTTTGCGACGGCTTTGAGATGAGACAAAAGGTTCACAACGGAAAGAACATGTGGGCATGTAAGATATACCGGATTTCAAATTCTAGTGAAAAGAAGCAGGAAACAAACGCTGGACTCAAAAACTGGATTCATTACAACATCAGCTCCCTTGAACTTCAAAAGGTTAGCTTTAAATTTGGTTTACGGTACCCTGAGTTATGCTTCTCCTTACGGATTATGTGTTTTAATTCGCTTTGTCCAATTTTACTCCTTTTTTCGTCGTTGCTTTTTGCTATTTTTTTTTTGGTTCTTTATTCTTTATTTTTCTCTTCGTCTCCCGAGCGCAAAAAAAAACATAGCTAACCACCGCTATTACTGAAATGTTGGCTAGAAAGTACGGCCGGTATACTCTTTCCTATTTTAATTTTTTTTTCTTTTCTACCTTTACAAGAAAAAATTGTTTCCTTGGTAAAAATTAATACCGAAGATATTACATGGCCGTGCGGAGGTTAGAAATTTCTCTTGGAGCGTTAAAAAAATATTTAACGGGTGAGCGATGCGAACGAGTGAAATATTTTGAACACGAATCTTCTATTTATCATGTAAACATCAATGGAAAACTAAATCATTCACTTTGATATGTGTATATATATATATGTATATTTTAAGTATAATAAAACAACAGTGATCTCTTCACATGTGAGATAACATGTTATCTCCCTTAAAGTGTGAAGATATCATGTTTTGAGCGAAAGCTAATTCGGTATTTCATCGTTATCCATATAATGAAAATGAATATCCTGGCTTATTCGTAGTCTATTATCCAAAATTGCGCTCCATCCAATCACCAATGAGCAGCACTCGAGTTGAACACCTTCAGGCACAAATAGGACGGTAAACAAAGAAAATATAGAAAGATATTTCATAAGACTGGAGATCCTAAAAAAAAAAGGTGACATTAGCCTAGATTAGTTAAATTTGATGTAAAGCACAGAGATAATTGTATTTTACTTTTCGCCGGCATCAGGAGACATCAAATGGAAACTGAAGCAAAACAAGAAACAAAAATATATAGGATAAAAATTTAAGGGTATTTGGGAAGGAGTTATAATGAATACAGCCTATTTCTTTTACCCAATCAATTCCCTTTTGATTTTTCTTTTCATATACATGTACATTAATTAATCTTATCGTGACAAAGTTAAAAGTTGGAATTTGACGTAAAGTATTACATGCATATTCATGTGTATTTATGACTGTAACATACCGCAATTGATGAAAAAATATGCAATTACAATTTATTTACTTCTTAGCCATCTTCGCTGACAATTCCACGCAAATAGGTCTCTGAAATCTGAAAATAATAGAAATCTGATGCCCCTTTGCAATGTAGTTGATGCACAACTATTATATAACGTCTCGAGGATGTCGCTGACTTTGCACCTCTAAAATAAAAACGTAGAATTTCATATGTGCAATTAAAAAGAAAATAATATTCCTACTATGAAACTAAAGTTTTTTCCTAAAGCTCAGCGCTGAGACGGCTTCCCCATGAAAAGTAAAAAAAAAAAACCAAAACACTTGCAGGGCCGCTGAAATTATTAAAGACCGTAACTGCTGTTTATGTCAGATGAATATAAAATAACTATTTTTTTGTGTGGTAACATTGCAAAGAGCGCCTTTCGAAAGATACACGCCACTTGCTGCACGAGCTTTTCAACATCAACTCTATGAGAATATCATTCTCTTGATGCTATATTGAACAAAACACACAAGACATTTGAAAAAGTTTTTTTTTTCCCTGTAGCTGTAACTGTTTAAACAGCTGTTAGTAACATTTGCTTTGTAGAACAATAAAATTGTTATGAGCAGTAATTCATAAGCTTATGCATAAGAGAATAAAACATGGGTAGCCATAATTTGAGTTAATTTTTTTTTCATAGAAATGTATTCTAGGTTTTATCCTCAAGTTCCATGAGTTTCCAGACCAAAGTTTATTTTAAATTGTCAAATATCCTTATTTATACCTCTTGTAAAAGATATTTTTTACCACCGTTGCTATTACTATCGTTTGTTTATATTTCATTACAATTTCATAATCTCCGTCCTTTCTAGCGGAATGATAGATTTTTTCATAATTTTTTCATTAATTTTGGAAATCAGCCATTTCCATAATTGAAGTAAATCAGAAGTTTAGAAATTTAAAAGTTTTGTACAGTTTAGAAGTTTAGAAAATTTAGAAATTTAGAAAATTTGAAATTTTGAAATAAGTAGAAATATAAAAATTTAGAAATACTTGAAAATTTACAAATTTAGCAATTTATTAATTTAAAAATTAAAAAAAATCTGAAATAATCTAGACCAATGGAAAAAAAATTGGGAACATTATATGGGATGTAGGAAATCTGCTTTATCATGAATGTTCGTGTTTGAAGTGATGCGTTATCTATTAGTTTTGAAAAGTTCATTCTATAGATTAAATAACAGTTCTTCAACATACTTTATTCAATGTGGAATTGTCGAGTTGTGTCATAAACAACCCATAAAAGGACACGCGTCAAATTTAACGTCACTTTTGTTAATTATCTTCAGCCAGAGCTATAAAAACTTCATTTCCGTTGTCATTTAACTAACTTAGGCATTAAAGCGCAAAACATGTTGTTGAAAGATTATTTTGCTGCGGCATTGCTAGTAGGCCTAACATTTGATGTTCACTCACCAAGTCATACCTGCCAAAATGCTTTTCAAAGCATCTTGCACAGCCATCAGCGAAGCGGGAAATTTCCTCGGACCAACGCAATCAAGCTATTGGGAGCGCATGTTATTTCAAAAATTCAGTGCCTAGATCTTTGTCTTCGAAATACAAAGTGTGATTTCTTCGACATGAAAAAAACTAATGCTAAGAATTCTACGATGCCTTGGATTTGTTCAGTTAAGCAACGTGTATCTGCCCAGGATACAGAGCTCGTCTCATCAAAAGTGTGGCTTCATTTCAACATAAGCTCTCATAATCTTCAAGAGGTTAGTTCTTTGAATTGTAAAATACTGTTTTGTTCAACTTCTGCATGAACTTGAATGATATATCGTTTGCTTAGTGGATTTCAAAATCGCTTTTAAGGCAAATCTCAAAACATATTTCATATTCATGGAGCTCCAAATCTAGAGCATTTGTCCTTTCAAATAAGAAAATTAAGCACAATAGGAAAAAATGAAAAGTCTACCCCTATATTTTTTCCCAAACCTTAAAAGATTAAATATCATAGGTTTTTAATATTACAAAAACAAAAAGCTTACGTAAAGGATTATGAAAGAGCTATTGCTGTCATATTTTCATGTACCATTAAAAAAACCGTCCATGAGATGAATTAATTTGTGGTTGCTTTCCGCATTTGCATATCTATAATATATATGATCATGTCAGATTCTCGGCTGCAGACAATGAGCCTCCCAAAACCAAATGCACAAAATGAAGAGCATGCAAATCCACAAAAAGCAGTCGATGTTTTTTCCAAAGCTGACGTACTTGATTAATGACTGTTTTACTAGGGAGAGAGTATTTATCATAAAACCTGCTGGTTTGCACACACAATAATGATTCATTCGTCACGGAAGATATCACTCAGAAACTGACATTTGGTGGGGAAATCATGAAGGCGTCTAAAAGTCTCTATCTTATTGTGAAATCAATGCTAAGAAAATATATCCGATGCCATTAGCGGCGTTAGATTTTGAAGATGAGAGCGATCCTCACAGTGTCTTACGGCAATCTACGCAGCTCAAACAAAACATTAAATGCCAAAATTAATAAAAACTTCCTCATGATAAAAAAATAAAAATAACTGAAATATTCCCTCAAATTTTGATGTTAATTAATCAACATGTCGTGTTAGTCTCAACACTCATAAACTTGAAGGGATACGTCCTCTTTTTTCAAAAAAAGCTCGCAGAAATATCGAGCGAGTTTATGGAAATTTTTATAATGTCTACAAAATCCATTAATTGACGTCGGGATGTCGCTTTGACTCGCCTAAGAGGATAAAAATATGTCAAAATGTCATCAGTTAAGATGACACCGTCAGCAAATGGTTTAAATGGTTCCTCGTTCGGTGATGTTTTTCTATACCAAAATTTAGGAGGCAGCCAATGGCTCTATGATATAACACAAAGAGATTATCCTTAAATAATTGGTTCATACTTAGCGTACTTCGAGTTATGGATGCAGGCGTGAAGTTCGGAGAGCGCGCAAGGAGCATAACGGTTGTTGGAGGCGCAGCCGATAGCAACTCTAGTTTCTCGAGTGCTCTCCAAACTTCCCAAGTGCATCTAAAACTCGACAAATGGACAGCTAAAACATGAAAAAATCATTTTATGACATAGCATGCAAATACGAGTTGTGCACGAAAAAAGAGTTTGTTACAACTGTGTCGGGTTTATCAGGTAGTCGTGTTCTATCCGAAAACGATGAATAAATGACGTGGAAAAAACCATCAAGAAATATTTCAAGACCAAATATTTATTCAAAGGATAGTAAATGTTCTGCTTAGGAGCTAAAAACGTACGTATTTCTTGCAAGTGCGAGACCGCTTCGTAGATTCAGCACACTTAGATCGCTGTTTACAAGAATTCCCAGCCAGAAAATTGCATAGGTTTAGGTTGAAGATTTTGAAACTTCCGAAATTGCACTGTTTTAAAATCGATACTTTTAGGACATATCAACACTTAAAAATATTATTTACCTTTCGAAAAACGGAGCGAAAAACTTGCAAATTTTTTCTTTTTACAAGACCCGTGCAAGTTTTGTTGAGTAGAATTTACAGGAAACAGGAAATTAGCTAGCTTTGTGTTGAAAGTTCTGAAAATTGTACGATTTAAAAAAAAGGGTCTATTGAAAGTACTTTTGGGACATATCAACACTTCAAAATAATATTTACCGTTACATAGATGAGTTCCCAACGTCGTAAAGCCTCAGTTGAAGTCAGAAAGCTTACTCCTTCTTTAAGCCATAATCCGCATCGCGTTTGGAAACTGAAGTATCGTTATTTCGTCGCTTAAAAGGGCTACATGATAAATGTTTTTCGAAACGAGAAATATTTAGTATATTTTCTACAAGATCTAAGTATTTTAAAAGGTCTTAGTAAATGCCTAGGAATTTTTTTAAAAGGGCTATCTCAATCAGGATGGAACGGACAAATGATCTTCAAAGTTTTGAAACCTCGCAGTTAAACGCGCAGGGAACTTGCAGCCGAAGTGAAACTATATTCGTCATGTTACGGATAGGCGCTTCGGAAAGGATACCAGAGCAAACTCTTAGTTGTTCACCCGCATGGTGGCCAGTGTAATTTCTGTGGCTCACTTCACTGTGATGGCGGGAGATCGCCATGGTGAGCTAGCCGCGAAGGACCTCAGCATGATCGCAGTCGCTCTGACACCTTCATCATTTTTATTAATTTCAACAGTTATGCCACTTTAGCTATATTTTTCATCATTTCTGTCTTGTTTTTGAACACGAAACTACGTACATTAAACGAATGTTAGTTTCGTTTGACTTTTGTCACCGCACGTAAGCCATAATCTACCTTGAGTGTGAAAACCTTCAAAACTCGGAATGTCATTTCGTTTTCTCGTTGAAGATTTTCGTCTCTGCGCAAGTTATGAGAGCGTCAATTACGGCGCTTGGCATGTTTACAACCTTTGTTTGGTTCTTCTGTTGCTACCTGCCGGCTCGCTTGTTCCGAAATTTCACTTTCAATTAAGGAAAAGAAAGCAAGAGAGAAGTCTGGGAGATGATCGGAAAGTAGGAATTGGCAGATGGCGTGACAGCTTCAGCTCGGCTCCGTGTTTTGCCTCTGATAGAACACATTCTTTTAACCAATGACAGCGCGCGTTCTATTCCATCTTTATTATAAGATTAATTTACTCTTGCAACCATAATTTCAATTAGTAATTAATTAGTTAATTAATGTATTATAAATTTATTATTATTATCATGAACAATATTTTCGGAGCTCAAATCCCTCGAAAGTGAATTGCAAAGATTATCATAGTTTGAGCAGCCAATCAGAGCGCTCCTTCAACGTAACTCTAGCAACTGTTTTAGTTTATACTTAAATAAATGTCTGCCAAAACAAAGGTAATTCTAGAACGATTTTTGGGATACTCACTTGGAGTTGATGCTTTCACTCTCAGATTTTGTCATCTTCGACTTCAGCCTGCTAAAGGAAAGATATCTGTCTCTATCAAGCTCATCGGATTGACACTGAGATTTTTCGGACGGAGATCTAGATAGCAGTGGAAAAAAATAACTGGCGTATCAAGACAAAACCTAAAGACGAAGTCTCTTCCTGTTCTTTTTCAGAACAGTGAATGAAAGTTATAACCTATCGATAATAAAGTAGACAGGATATTTTAAATTAAAACCCTAAGCCTGTGACGATTCAATTTCAAATTTGAAAATTGAGTAACATTTAGTGTGTACTGAACGTCCAAAATGTTTTACCGGCAAAGTCTTTAAATTGTTTTAAAGTCATAATGTTCAAATTTAAGCTTTTAATTTTTTATATATACAACATAGCTAGTATATACGTGTGGACCGCAAGGTCAAGGTTGTACAAAAAGGAAACAATAAAGGCTTTACTGTTTTTATTACAAAATATACTAACGAGTGTATGTGTGAAAATGGTGAAAACAGCGCAAGAAATTGTCAGGTAGGTTAAATTGAAACAATTAAGATAGATTTGAGTGAAAATTAATCAAAAAATAATTGCAACGTTAACTTTACATTTCCAATTTCTTTTTTACGAGCATTCTATTTAACCTATAAGAGGGTACCATCAACGGTACAAATATTTGCTAGTTAATGAACCCACAAACATTTTTTTCTTTCAGGGAAGCTTGCTGAATACTATGTTTTTATTTGGAAATAACGAAAAATAAAGAAGAATTTATATGTGAGAGTGCTTATTTCCTCTTTTTCCGCTACGCTCCCATTCAATTATAGTTGTCATGTATAATGAATCAATGCTGGATAACCTTTTCAAGATAAATCATTGTTTTGCATTCTATACACTCTGCGTGCTAGTTAAGGATTGAATTTTAGCCTTTTCACCAAGAGAAGCCTGCCCAAAGTGTTCCCACACTCAATGCGCATATTGGGCCGTCTCTAACTTATTCCGACGTTGAAGCTGCAAGCACTTAATGGACAAATTTATCATTGGTGCTGAATTATGAACATAAAAATTAAAAACAAAATGGAAGACGAAAAAATTAAATGGTATGCATTAGCGTTGGACCTATATTACATTTCCTTTCCTTGATTAAACAGTGTCTAAATTTGAGAAAATGGAAATGTTTGGAGTAAGGCTAATGGCTCTAAATGGTATGGAAGAATTGCGATTAATATAAGGACGTCAGATTCAAAATACAATTTTCGTTAAAGACAGTTTTCCGTGTACCATATAATTACAGTTTCATTTAGGAGAAATTGCGTGTGAAAAATATTGACGCCGAGTAAACTGTGACATCTGTGCGGTTTGGATACTGAGGTAAAAATCTATTATAACCATAAAAAGTAAAAAATTAAAAACGATGTTCAAGTTAATTTATTTTAGCTTTTTTTTTTTTTTTTTTTTAATAAAGCCGCATTAAGATGAAAAGGAAATTTGACTTACTTCACTAAATTAAGTCAATGCATATTTTTCGACGTCATAAGGAAAATTACCATAGCGTACACACTTGAACCACGTCCGTCTAGAATCAAGCTGTCCAGTTCTGTAAATAGAACGCAGAAAAAATGACGAAATTAGGTCTTAAATTAGCATTCTGTTTAATTTTTCTTGTGTTTGAAAGTTCCCTTTGTTGTGAGTCGTCTTACGATGCTCTGTACGACCTTCAGAATATATTGAAACATCGTCGGAAGGCTGGACGTATACACCCAAGGAACAGAATAATTGAAACCATCGTGCGAACGAAAATGGAATGCCTTGACATCTGTTTACGGACCTCTCAGTGTGCTTCTTTTACTTTGAAAGCAGTAAGGTATAAGCGTGGCACAAGGACTGCTTGGATCTGTT